TAAAAAATCCCAAATAGCTTTTAATGTATATTTTACAAAATTTTTGTTAAAAAAAACTAATAAAATTGATCTTGGACTATGGTAAGGAATTTCTTTGGAATCCAGTAAGATTTTTAGAAGCACATTGTTATTCATCCAACAGATACCTAAGCAGCACAATTTGGTTAGTGAAGAAAACAATTTTAAATATAATTTTAATTTTATATTTAGATTCATAAAAGATGAAGTAAAAATTGCTATTGAGTTTATCAGAGTACTATAAGCAGTTATTTTGTTTGTGTTCAAACATTGCTTTTTACTTACTATTCTTGTTGCAAAAAAACTCTTGTGTTTTAGAGAATACAATGGTATTATTTACATTAATTCATGTGGCTTGGTGAAAAAAATGCTATAACTCCTTTACTTAATGGGATTCTTCCCCTGTGGCAGTGCAAACGGCTAGAGCAGGAGCTTCATCATCTGAAAGAGCAGAACCAGACTTCAGCAAACAACATGAGACATCTGACTGCTGAAAACAATCAGGAACGTGCTCTGAAGGTAAATCTCTGTTCCTTCTTGCAGGCAAATTAAGGTTGTAAGCCCTTGGTGCCAGCTTTCTGTGCTGCATATATCAGTTGTGTACATTTCAGCAGAAGTGAGCTGTGGTGTTTGCCAACAACCCCTTCTTTAAACACAGATACAGCACCCTTCTGTTATGGTATTATTTTATTCCGTGTATGTGTACATGAAAACAACATATTTTCTGAATTTTCAGTGGTGGTACTTTAATAACTTTTGGTACATATAAATTTGTTCTTACTTTTATGTTACTACATTTTATAGTTAATGAAAAGTGACCACATTAAAAGAAAAAAAATTTTCTTTGCATCAGTATTTATTTGTCAGTAACACATAGAACTTGAAACAAACGAAGTGTACATTTTATAACAAGTTCGATCTCTTTGTAATATAGGTACAGAAGTCATAAGAAGGACATTATTTTGATTCTACTAATTTATTTTTTTCTTAACATGCTTGTGACTTTCCATTTTCCTGTTCCTTTCTGCCCCAGTTCCTAGCAAAGTACCTGTGATTCTGTAATGGCCTCTGCCTTCAAGGTGCTTACAGTCTTATTAACAGGTTAAAAACATAAATCCATGGGGAACATAAAGGATCCATTGTTGTTTTTACTGCTCTAAGATAAGAAAAGATTTGCTGCCAAGGGGATTGTGTTGTAGTTGGTTGTCTTAAATTCATTTCAGTGCAGATTATGGAGGGATACATTGGAATTAGTAATGTAACTTGGTAAGCTATTATCATCTACCAGAATTGAGGAAAATGGTGATGTTATGATTTGGAAAAGATTTTTCATCGATCCAAAAAGTGTGATATTTGGTAGAAGCCAGATTTTTTACAAAACATACTTAAGTTTAATTTTGAGATTTTCAGCAGTGGGTTTATAATAGTTTTGTTGTTTAATATACTTTCTCTTCTTTTCTATTGAATTTGAATATACACCAGAAAAGTATAAGGAAAAAGGGAAGAATTAAAGATTTTGTGAATATTTTTAATTACCCATAAGGAATGTACTATTTTATAAAAATTATAATGTTTTTTAAATGTATACTTGAATGGGAAACAGCTGTGTTTTAAAGACAGCTTCCACAATGTGTGCTAATTTATTTATTGGGGACAGATTTTATGTGCATGTGATGTGGTTATTTCCATTTAAAATGGAACCTAAAATAAATTCCACTTTATTAAGTATACAGTAATCATATGGTATTTATTCTGTCATTTTTGGTTCTGTGTTTCTGTTAAATTTAATTAAATGACAGCAGCAATTTATGTAGAGATATAGATGCATATTTCTAAGATTTATCATAACGAAAGGAATTAAGTATACCAAAAAAGGCCTAAAAGTTAAAACAGACCCATAAAATTAAAATCTCTGTAAACTGTTGACTTATACTTTAAGGTAATATATAAATATAACTATATTGTAACTACCAACAAATACACTATGTTAACATTTTTTAGTTGCTCATCTTTTTTTGCAAAAGCCTCAGCTTTTTTTATTGTCTTTTAATCCTTTAGAAAGTTATCCATTAACTAAAACTGTTTAAATTCTTGGTGTAGAGTAAGGGTGAGATGAAAAAGTATTTTTTTTTAGAGGTTTTTGCTATAGGGCGGATGCACTCTCCAGAAAGACAGAAAGACAGAGAGACAGAAACTGAGAAATCAGGGGGTATGGCCACGTCGCAATTCCTTCTCCTCCAGTCTCCTCTTGGGATCTTGGACATGCATGCACATGCGTCCGGCGTGGGTTTAAATCACCAGATCCAGGATTCGAGCCACGGATTACTAAATGGGAGTCCAGCAACATAGCCATTACACTATTTGCAAGTCCCAAAAAACTAGTTTTTAAAATCTTTCCCATCAGCCCAGTCATTTTTAAGCCTCTGAATTAATTTAAGCTCTTTAAAAAATAAGTCTTGCCTAAAACTGAATTTTAATCATGTTTAAAGTTTTTTCATGCCAATTTATTTCTTTATGATAAATCCTAAATTTATTATGAAAATTTAGGTTATTTAGAACGCATCTGTTATATTCTAAATCACATTTTAAAAATTAATTTTTCCTTTTCAGGAATTTTGGTTTTTATTTGATTTTTTGGGGGGGAGAAATTTTTGCTATAGCGTATGTTTGCTCTTCTGAGAGACAGAGAAAGAGAAAGCAAGAAATCATACCCTGGGAAGATTGTCACATCGTAATCCCTTCTCCATTTTCCTTTCAGGATCTTGATGATGCACACACTTGTTCCTGGTGTGAGTTTCAAGCCTCCAGGTCCAAGACTCAAACTGCGTGCGGTGAGCCGTGTGAGAGTCCAGTGACATAACCATTACACCATCTGTTGGTCCCTATATGGTGCTTTTATTACAGCACTCTGTATCTTCATTTTGCCATGTAACTTATAAATAATAAGATTATTTGGACCAGCAGTTGACGTAATGGCTATGTCACTGGACTCCCATGTAGTCGCAGACCCGGTGGCTTAAACTCACGCCAGGCACATGTGTGTGCATGCCCAAGATCCCAAGAGGAGAATGGAGGAGAAGGGATCGCGGCATGGCCATCCCCCTGGGGGGGGGGGTGATTTCTCAGTTTCTGTCTCTCTGTCTCTCTCTCTGTCTTTCTGGTGAGCACATGTGCCCTATAGCAGAAACCTCTCCAAAAGACAAAACAAAAAAGAACTACATATAAATACACACACACACACACACAAGTGCATGTAAGACTGGTGAGGCCTGCATAGGCTCTGTGGATTGTACCACAGTGTTGGAATTTGATTTAGAGGGATACTATGCCTTGGTTGTGGGAGATGATAACCTCCGGAGGATGCTGAGCAGGTAGATAGTACATGGTACCTCCCTGTACAGTTTTAAAATTTCCTGTGACTTTGTGATTATTTCAAAATATAAAGTTATTTTTAAAAACTGAGTAGCTGGGCTAGTGAATGGTATAGTGGTTGAGGTGCTGGACTTTCATATAATGGACTGTGGTTTAAGTCCCAGACACATTGGCTTACTTTCTCACTTTCCCTCTCTCTGTCTCTCTCAGGTTCTTACTTTCCCTCTCTCTGTCTCTCTCAGGTGAGTTTGTGTTTCCTATAGCAAACATTAAAATAATGAATATGATAAATAAAAATAATTAAGTAAAATGAAATAATTTTTAAATAATGAGTAGAATTAAATAAATAAATGAAATTAAATAAATAATAATTCTTTAAAAAAAAATCTACATCCAGCCCACATTCAAGGGGAGAGCATCACACAAGGGTATGAATATAGGGTGCAGAGATCGTTGGGTGTATATTGGCTTGTGCCTATCACAACTTGGAGGCATTGGGTCGTCGGAAAAGTCATGACACATTTTTACATTGAAAAACATAGAAAAATACGTCCTTCATAACTTTCCCGATGTCCTAATAAATAAACACTTCAAATGGAATACACCAAAAGCCAGACTACTGATCTTACCACCAGACTTGTTCATTCTGCATACCTTATTTGAAAAAAAGCATTGTTTTATCCTTTCAGTAACTTAGGTCAAAATTCCTCCTGTTAGCCTTGACTCCTTTATCTATTACACTCCACATCCTTTCCGTAACAAATTTTCTTGGCTCTACTTTTAGTATATATCAAGGATTTAGTCATTTCTCTCTACTTCTACTATTAATATTGTCTTTCAAGTCTCTGTCATCTCTTGCCTGGATTATTTTCAAAGCCTCCTAATGGTCTCCTGTTTCTATTCTTGCCTTCAGCACAACCTCTAGAATGATCTTATTAAAATGTAAATTAGATTTTGGTACTCCCTCTGCTAAGAACCTTCCAATGGCCTGGAATTTCACTCATGATAAACCTACCAGACCTCTTGATCTCACTCTCAGTTAGTTCCCTGATACTGTACTTCACTTTAAGTGCACTACTTCCTTACTGTTCCTTAAACATGACAGGCATGCTTGTATCTCAGGGTCTTGTACCTTTTGTTCCTAGTTCTAAGGAATGTTCTTCTCCCAAGTATTTATTCAGCTCATTTTCTTCTTCTTTTAATTATTTAATTTAATTTAATTATTATTTTTAAATTGACCAAGAGAGTGGCAGAGAGAGAAAGAGGGAAAGTGAAAACTCTAGGTCTGGGACTTGAACCACAGTCAGTCATGTGGGAGTCCAGCACTCTAACCACCACACCACCTGTTAGCCCCACAGTTTACTTTTTACCTTCTTCAAGTCTATTCAGATGCCTCCTGTCTGGTGAGGACTTCCTTGATCAAGCGATTACCTATCTCAGCTCATACTCCTATCAGCATTTTCTCTGTCCTCATCCCTATTTTTTTTTTTTATATGAATTACTTTCTGTCATCTTAGAAAATATGTATGTAGTTTATCTATTGTATTATTGTCTGTTTTCCTGATAGGAATGAATGCTCTATAAGGTCAGAGACTTTTACTTTGTACATTTTTATGTCTACTGATGATATTAAAAATATTTGACATTCAGTGAGGAAAAGATACTGACCAATCAGAACAGATGCCAGCTTTTAACAGTTTGAAAGCCTGTATCTGTGCATACTGGCTGAAAACTAGTCTGGACTGTATAGGAGATACAAAATGCCTAGCACACAGTATTCATTGAATAAGTATCTGTTGAATGAATTAATACATTTGCAATTTAGTATCCTACTTTCCCTTTTCACTTCATCAATATTTTTCAGTAGATTTAAATACTCTTTATAAATTATTCCTTAAGATATATATGACTAAACATTACTAAGAGAAGTATTTTGTAAACAGAATAATTGAAAAAAAATATTTTTCAAATTTTTGTTTTTAATGAAGCACATATTTTAAAAAGTCAGATTTTATAAATTACATATTAATATATAGCAGCTTCTTCCTCATCTACTCTCCTGATTTTTTTTTTTTTTTTTTTTTTTGTTTGTTTTGGGTTTTTGCTATAAGGTGGTGAGTGCTTTCTCTGGAGAGATGTAGAAAGAG